CCGTGTTTACGGAGATTTTTTTTTAATCGACATCGCATTGGGTGAGGCCATGTATTCGTGTGGACAGGGCCTTAGTCTCACACGGGACACCAACAGCCTTGTCCTGTATGTGAGCCATCCATCCACCTCTTTTGACGGCGGGTGTGTACAGAAGTATTGCTAGAGTGATATCTCCAGCGTCATATTTTGAAGCAGAGGACCACTGACCAAGCAGCAGTATTTGATGATTTGGGAGTGAGATTATAATATAATTATAATTCCAATGATTTTAAGTCCCTGTGCTGTTGTTTTCAGTCATTCTGGTTGGAGCAAGGTGCGAGGAGTTGTATGTTAATTAAAGTCACCAAACTTCACAGACTAACAGGAAACATAAAGGTCAAAGTTGTCCGAACACAACTTACTTTTAAACACTGTCACTGATTAGAATTTGTCTTTTAAAAAACACAAATCAAAGGTTAAGCTAAAAATAAGTTCCCCCATTAGGAATAAGAGCATGTGTGTTCGTGTTCATACACAGATTGAACCAGAATGCATTGGTTAGATGTGTCTGAGGAAGTTAACACAGGAAGGTCCTGAAGAATCTTCTATCTGTTAAGAGAAGGCCTTTGCTGCTCAGACCTCGAGCCTCATTACATTAAGTCTGAAATCATGTTTTATCTCAGTTTAGGATAGGAAATAGGAAATTTAGGATTTGTGGTATTACAGAAACATGTTTGCTTACTTATCTTATCTTAGAACAGGATTATAGCTATAACAGAACCGTCCTATCTGAAGAATTTTCTAGTCAGGAATCCTGAGTTACCCTGTCCTAAATTCAATCGACTGCGGAGACGATTCATTTTGAATTCGATCAACTGCACCAAATGCTTTGTTAAGTCTTTGTAGGAAACTGTTTTGGAAAAGGGCAGGATTGATAGAACGAACCATCTGTCTATCACTGTCTATAACACGTAAACTTCAACAAATCAGAACCAAACGGACCATCTAACGAAGCTACACATTGTTGTTTAATGAACAAAATCTTGTTGGTGAGAATTCTTGCATGATTTTGTGATCCGGCGAGTCCAACCGCCTCAAACTGTTAAACTAAACGCCCGCCTTCTCTTGTCCATTAGCAAGCTAGCTAGGATTTTATGTGAGGTGAGAGAGCCGCTGTCAAGGATTTAGGATTTCTTAAGATTAGATATGAAATTCAAGCCATGAGTTTAGGAATTGCTTCTGTAATGGGAAGATCTAGTTTCCTTTTGGATAAAGTATTTGTTTGTTTGCTCTTACACACAGAGAATGTAATGCTGCATTCACAAGGATTCAGGCAAACAGTAGACGGCAAACCGGATGTTATGTAATACCAGCAATGGTGATGGCAGATGTTGTCCAAAATTTTAATATTTGAGGTTGTTAGTGTCGGTGACGGTATTTAAATGTTGCATAGCTCCCTCACACAAAGAGAAAACATAGGCAATCTGGGCAACAAGACGCACAATATACATGAAATAACTGTATTTAATATCGTATAATTTTTGTAAAAGATACAACATTACAATAGTAACATATCATCGTGTATGTTTTGCTTTGGCGTCCTGCTACTGCATACATACTGCTATGCATAAGAAGTGCAGCTGCTCCTACAGTAAAGCGGCCCACACTTTCTAAAAGCTTTTTTTAAGATTATCTTTTGGCTTTTTGGAGTGTGACAGATGTTGGCCTGTCAAAAGCACAAATCCTCAGACAGAAGGAGGCTGGACTGCGATAGCCTGAGGATCCTGTACAGTCAACAACCCCGATCCTACACGCTATCAGAGATCTGTTAAAGTCTGAAATATTGGTGCAGAGGTTAATATCATGAGACAAGAACTTTAATGATTTATTGCAACAAGGAAGTTCACTTTTATTTGCCTACACATACGTATGTTCAGAAATCTAAATATATGGCCTGCATGCTCAAGATTATCTTGTAGTGTTGTCGGTCGTTTGACTCAGCGTGCTGATGGTGTACAGTACATCTCCTAGCTTAGCATAAAGACTGGAAACAGGGGGAAACTAGCCTAGCTACATCAAAAGAAATAAAAGAATACTAAGGTGCACAAGAGCTGCTGGAAGCACCTGCAGGAACTGCTGGGGCAGTTATCAAATGCTATCAAGATGATGTTAGGTGTGTGTGTGTGTGTGTGGCTGTGTGTGTGTGTGAGTGTGTGTGTGTGTGAGGTGTGTGGCCTGGGCAGGGGTTGGACCGCCCAGAGCAACGCCTGCAGGTTGGAAGGTCGGAAGGAAATGACAGAAACAGTCCTCTACTGGTCAAACGACACACAGACACACACACAAACATAATGCATGCTCACACACATTCGCGCCCACGCAGCACGGTACCCTCATGGATTCTCTTCAAATGCACACAAACACACACACACACACACACACTCCAGCCTCACTGCTCCATGTTGCTCCCAAACTAATGCTGATAAATATAAATAGACTGTTTTCACGCTGTCGCTGTCCAATGAAAACTTTTAAAGTTTGCAGGATTGAGTTAAATCTCCATTATGGTTGTAAAATATTCTCCTTTTTCTCTAAATAAAACTCTTCAGAACTCATTATGACTATTTATCCAGCCGCAGTATGATATAAAAGAGAGTACTGACACAGGGCTGGTGGGTCAGACAGGTAATGAGAGAAGGTAAGAGTAGATGATGGTCCAATCAGCGAGATACCCTTCACGGACACCAATCATGGAAATGGAGTGGCACAGGGCTATTTGCATTGGAGAGCTGAATGGACATTTAATACAACAATATACACAATCAGCAGAGACCCCTTTTTATGCTTAATTTCTAGGTTGAACGCCAACAAATGCCCAAAGCACAAGCCAACAGTTCCACAAAAAAGAAGACAAGGGGGCCAACCAGGGGTATGTGGACCACAGGGGGTACGTCTGCAGTTGCCAGGGGTTTGTGAAAAGATAAAGATAAATGAGTTTGAATAGCTAAAAGTAACAGATAAATGGTTAAAATAGCCAAAAGTAATGGAGAAATAGTTGTAAAAGTTAGCTAAAAAACTGTTAAATAATTCAAGAACACATCTAAAAATGGATAAATTGGTCAAAACAGGCAAGAGTAACAAATAAATGCTTATA